CCAAGAAGAATGAAACATGCTAAAATCAGTGATAAAGCCTGGAAATCAAATGTTGGATTTACTGTTGCGCTAGTAAATCCAAGAAGAATGAAACATGCTAAAATCAATGATAAAGCCTGGAAATCAAATGTTGGATTTACTGTTGCGCTAGTAAATCCAAGAAGAATGAAACATGCTAAAATCAATGATAAAGCCTGGAAATCAAATGTTGGATTTACTGTTGCGCTAGTAAATCCAAGAAGAATGAAACATGCTAAAATCAGTGATAAAGCCTGGAAATCAAATGTTGGATTTACTGTTGCGCTAGTAAATCCAAGAAGAATGAAACATGCTAAAATCAATGATAAAGCCTGGAAATCAAATGTTGGATTTACTGTTGCGCTAGTAAATCCAAGAAGAATGAAACATGCTAAAATCAATGATAAAGCCTGGAAATCAAATGTTGGATTTACTGTTGCGCTAGTAAATCCAAGAAGAATGAAACATGCTAAAATCAATGATAAAGCCTGGAAATCAAATGTTGGATTTACTGTTGCGCTAGTAAATCCAAGAAGAATGAAACATGCTAAAATCAATGATAAAGCCTGGAAATCAAATGTTGGATTTACTGTTGCGCTAGTAAATCCAAGAAGAATGAAACATGCTAAAATCAATGATAAAGCCTGGAAATCAAATGTTGGATTTACTGTTGCGCTAGTAAATCCAAGAAGAATGAAACATGCTAAAATCAATGATAAAGCCTAGGCTACGTAACTTGGACTAGGGAATTTACTCTTAAAAATGAACTGGGAAGTCTAGAAATTGAAAATTTTGATGAGGATAAATTATTCTACCATTTTCCGTCAAGATGTGAGAAACTTATGGTATGTCTAACTGTTCTTACTCAAATATAAGATAAAAAACTGCTTGGATGAATATTTAGTTTTTGCCGGTGCTAATATGTCGAAAATCCTTAATTTGGAAAACTCTGTAACAATGAATTTCAACATTCTGAAGACCCATCTTAAGGGAATGCTTCCTACTCGGCAGAATAAAATTTTTCAAACTATTGATGTTCAAAATCACAAAATATCCTCCCCGAAAGGTGTTTCGAGCAGATTAATCATCAGTAATGCAACACTCGCTCCTAACTCAAACACGTTTAAAAACCAAGCTGCAAATCATTCAGACATTCGTTCACAACACTCCTCTACTTAAAAATCTACTTCCAAATAGTTACGATATCTATTGCAGATAATAATGATAGAAAAAGCATTTCTAGCTCCAGCCTAGCTGATCCTAGAAATACCATAAACTGCTGAAGTAAGTGAGACTGGTTTTCAAAGTGATTCAAAGTGCTTCAAACAAGAGTAAATTCAAAAATACTAGTTTAATATCAATGTTTAATTAATATAGGTTACTCTTGAGACATTATATTAACCTCTATGTATAAACCACATTCATACAATTGTGTGAACATTATCGTAACATTGAATGAATACACCTGCTTAGCTGCCTATTCGTATTTGTTTCAATTTAACTGGTTGAGTATCAATGTTTCATTCAGGAATGACCATTCTACATTGTAATTATTTTCACCGGCTTGTGTGATGTTAATTTTAAGTTTGCCTTCACAAAACTACATTTCAATTTTCCTCGCTTGTAATTTGCGGTTTGTGGATTTTGAATAAATACATACAAACATACAAAAAAACACACATTACGTACACATACATACATACATACATACATACATACATACATACATACATACATACATACATACATACATACATGCAGAAAACTGGCCAGACCAAATCATCGTCCGCGAATGGTGTTTCAATGATCCGTCGGCAAATGTTGTCAATGACCTGTCGGCAAATGTTGTTTCAACTAAAAATAGCAATGAATAAATACTTCATAGAAGAGAATCTCGAAGAATCAAAATATTACACTTTAAAAGAATTATCTAACATAATAAAATTGAAGAATAAAATGAAAAACAATCACCTACCAATCATTCATCTGAATGCTCGAAGTTTGTTTCATAAATTATTAAATCTAGAAATCTTCTTAAAACAATTCGACGACTTTTTCAAAATTATAGTAATATCAGAAACGTGGTTGAACAATGAAACAGTTGATTTAATTAAGTTAAATAATTACAATTTTGTATATAAAAATAGAAAAAGCAAACGAGGCGGAGGTGTTGGTGTGTTCATAAAGCATGACATCAAATAT